TCCTGTGACTTCACCCGGTTTATATCGTCATTGCATTAAGGACGGAATGCGGGCCTAAACAACACAATGTAGAGGGTACTGATTGCTCGAACCCCTCCCCCCCCCCTACCTGAATAACGTGTATGTGGCTAAACGACTCCTTACACATATAGAGATTCTCCTTTAAAGCATTTGTTAATATATTTTATATTATTTTAAATCTATATTTTTGCCAGTCTTCACAATATTACCATTATTTATCATTATAAATATGCTCTTCAACTAGGATTACGCCCTTTGAGCAACCCTTCCCGGCAAGACAATTTCTAAAGGGGGCAGGGGTTAGGGAAGGGAAAGCCTCCTATGTTTTCATAGTATCTGTGCCGCGACCTTTATCATCTCTAATCTCTCACTTTCCACAACTCATTATTTCCACTGAAAGATATCTATTGAATTATGAATCCACATTCAGTTGTAACTATAGCATGAGCTTGACTTCCAGAATGATTGAACACGGCATGACCTCACCAAAGCAAACAAATATTCAAAGATGATCATTCCTGTTTAAACCGGCCATCTTAACCCTGCACATGTTCACGTCAGTCCGGGTAGGAGAAGGTCGTGTGACAGTTCGATAAAGTATCGATCAGAACCCACGGCTAAGTAAATGTCATCACCATTTGTAATAGAGCGCAGGCTCCCTGAAACAAGAGCAAGGCTGCTTGAGCGTTGTCAGCGTTGTATCGAAACTGGCAGCGAGAAGTCAGCGACTTCCTCGCCTCGTTTATAGATCCAGGCGAAAACTTTCTTGGTGAAGGTCAATATTCTGGTGATAATGCCATCCTTGTGTGCAGGATTGTTTATCTGGTGACACATGTCTTGGCTACTGACTTCGTTGCCACTTGAATTGGGAAATTAGAGACGCAACCAAGTTCTAAGCCTCTAGAATTAGGGCTTGTATAGCCTTGAAATTGTCATGCTTTTCTGTCAACGTTATCTGATGTCACAACTAGTATGTTACTTTACACTTGTAAGTATCCGTTTTCTTTTCGTCGACTAACATTGTCACAGTGCGAGATCTGTATATATGTATCGATTGCTAGTCAAGCGCTGCATGCGAACGTGGTGCTACATGCAGAGTGTATGCTGGCTTCCAAGATACCACCCGTAGGCTGGTGCCTTATGCATTACAGTGCTTTATTATCATTCCAATCATATATTTATCCTTTAGACACTTTACATTACTTGATTTGCACTCCTATGTGTGCATGTAGTTTCATCCATGTCTTTGCCTCTCAGTACTGTAATCTGGATGTTTTAGTAAATGTTTGTCTGCTGCACACTCCTCGCCTCCCGTTGTTTGTGCTAATTTAAGCTCTGGTATAATGGTAGTATAGATTTTATGTGCCCGTTTTGCAGAAATGTGAATACTGTAGTATTGTGTCCAGAATCTGAGCTAAACTAATATAGATTTACACACTGGTGAATAGTGTGGGTTCGGGTTGTTTGTTTCACCTGCTGTAGCTTACCAAATACATATTCAAGATCATGCCAGCTTCATAAACATTTACAGGTTAAACATTTATCTGTCAAACTTAATTTGTTTCCGCATGTGTTTTATTTTTGCTGGCAACGTCTTGCAGATAATCGTTGGTGTTCAAATAGAAATATGACTATTACTGTGATCAGATGTTAACAGTATCAGTTACTGTGATTGTGATCAGATGTTAACAGTATCAGTTACTATGACTGTGATCAGATGTTAACAGTATCAGTTACTATGACTGTGATCAGATGTTAACAGTATCAGTTACTATGACTATGATCAGATGTCAACAGTATCAGTTACTGTGACTTTGATCAGATGTTAACAGTATCAGTTATTATGACTGTGATCAGATGTTAACAGTATCAGTTATTATGACTGTGATCAGATCTTAACAGTATCAGTTATTATTACTGTGATCAGATGTTAACAGTATCAGTTATTATGACTGTGATCAGATGTTAACAGTATCAGTTACTATGACTGTGATCAGATGTTAACAGTATCAATTACTATGACTGTGATCAGATGTTAACCGTATCAGTTACTATGACTGTGATCAGATGTTAACCGTATCAGTTACTATGACTGTGATCAGATGTTCACAGTATCAGTTATTATGATTGTGATCAGATGTTAACAGTATCAGTTACTATGACTGTGATCAGATGTTAACAGTATCAGTTACTATGACTCTGATCAGATGTTCACAGTATCAGTTATTATGACTGTGATCAGATGTTAACAGTATCAGTTATTATGACTGTGATCAGATCTTAACAGTATCAGTTATTATGACTGTGCTCAGATATTAACAGTATCAGTTATTATGACTGTGCTCAGATGTTAACAGTATCAGTTATTATGACTGTGCTCAGATGTTAACAGTATCAGTTATTATGACTGTGCTCAGATGTTAACAGTATCAGTTATTATGACTGTGCTCAGATGTTAACAGTATCAGTTATTATGACT